ATGGGCATCCCCCAAGGCTCTGTCCTTGACCTTCTCTCTATTCTCTTACTTTAATGATCTTATCATTTGCTATCAGTTCAATTGTCATCTCTGTGCAGATGACTGCCAAATCTATACATTATCCCTTCCACATTTGAGGGAAGGGGTGGTGGTGTGAGGGCATGGCACCCTGAGATCTGGAAAATTCACATAAAATCCCTTTGTACTAGAGAAGAAGTCTGAATTATTTTGGCATTAAAAGATAAAATATGTTGATATTTTATAGCAATGTCATACATATCTTTTATGCATTTCTGAGTTTCTAAACTTTTTCTGTGTTGTCTGTGGCTTCCCCAAAACTCCCCCAAGATTTCCATTTAATTTCTTACACCGACTCACAATATATTGAAACTGCAGTTAGGAAAGTTGCTGTGTGGAGGGGATAACTGTATAGATTTAGAACCCTAATCTCTCTCCTAAATTCCATTCTGACATTACCAGTTGCATGTTAGACATCTCTTTTGGATATCCCATAACTTAACATGTCCAATGGCAAACTCGTATTTCCCACCAAAACCATTCATCCTCTAAACTTCCCTACATTTAATTACTCAGGTTACACTTTTGGAATTTTATTTAATTCTTCCCTTGATCTTGCCCTCCACCCACTTGTCATTTCTACCTTCACTGTATCTCATCCATTTATCTCCTCCTCTCCATTCATACAACGTCCATCTTAGATCAGGCTATCACCACTTTTTTCCTGGGCTACTGCAGTAGGCTCCCAATTGATCTCCTTCCTGTTTCCAATACATTTTCAACACATATATGACCATTTTACCACAGTTCAGATCTCCCATGGTTCCCTGTTTTCTTTATGAAATCCTGTACTTAAAGGGCTCCAATTTGATTCTATTGCCTGTCAGTTTTCCATGGGTACCATGCTTAACTTCACATCGGTCCCCTTCATATATTCTCCATTCCAGTCAAACTGACTTGATAGCTTCCTTCAGTGCTCAGCTTATACATCACCTGAGGGACCATCACCAGTTGTCCTGATCTATATTTTGCCGCTGGATCCAGATGACTCTGGAGGAGAAAGTGAGGCTGGTGACTTTGCACAGTGCTTCCTCACTTAAATCCAGTTCTCTTGCAAGACATGACATCACCTTCCTGATGTCGTGGTCCTCTTCAAGAAGGAAGGACAAACAACAATATACACCACCTCCTGTGTGAACTCTGTTCTGAATCCCCAAACCCCAATTTTTAACACCCTCTCCTTAAAATTACTTTGAAAAAACAATATATTTGCTCACATGCATATCTATTGTACGTACTCAGTAGAATGTAAGCTACCTGAAGTCAAGGACTACTTTTGTTGTTGTTTTGGTTTTACCTTAGTACCTTCCACCATCCAACACAGAATCTGACATACATAATAAATGTTTGTTGCTGAACTTAATTGACAATTCAGGACAAATTTCTCTCTCCCATTGGTGAAGTACCTTAAATAAATTGTGTGCTTGATAGGTGATTTTTTTTTTTAAATATAAAGAGGCAGGGCCTCCAAACTACCAGAATTGTTGGAATTACCAGAATTATCAAAAAAATTACCAGAAAAGTGCCTTTTTTTTTTTTTAAGACTTGACCTTTCTATCTCACCCAGGCTTAGAAGTTCAGTGGCCAATCTCAATATTAAAAGGTACTGAAGCTTTAACCTGCTGCCTTTCTAACCTGAGCTGCTTTGCCTTGCCCCTTCCCAGGCAGACTGGTATCCCTCTGCTCCCCAGGGTTTACTAGACTGGTGCCAGATTTAGTATAGACACCCAGATGATTTTAGCCCAACTATGGCTCAGAACTCAGAAATTCAGCAACCCCCCTCCCAACCTCAGCCTCTACTGACATATGCTGCTGTGCTTGGCACCTGAGTGCTGTACCTGGCACAGCAGTGGCTTCTAAAAGAATGTTGGCATCTTTAAATAAAATTCTGCTGCATTTAGTCTTACTATCTGAATTACTCAGAAATCATCTTGATGTTTACAGATTAGGAAAATCTAAAACAACATATTGATTGCACAGGCCATATCCTATTTGTCATTTTTTCTTCTCCAGGACTTGGGCAGAATCCTACACATAGTAGGGACTTAACTACCTTAGTCAAGTACCTTTGCTTACTTAGTAAATATGTACTGAACAAAGGGATGAATGAACAGAATTTGTCTGCCTTCTGTCTTCTCTAGCTTTTCTATCCCTGTGGTATTACTTTCAAAATAAAGCAGCATTCCAAATGGTCTGATAAGGGAGTGGCTTCTCTATATTCTGAGGAAATCCAAGGTGACACTTCAGTTAACAAGACCTTAGGGGCAGCAATGTTTAAAGAAACACATGCAACCCAAATGATAGACAACTTTGTAAATCACAGGAAGCAATGTTGGTAGTAGAGAAATTGCTATTTACCATTTTCTAATAAGAAGTAGTTTGTAAAACCACTGGTTATCTTCTAGGGTAGTTAAGAGTCAACAAATATTCACTAAGCTCCTACTCTATGCCAGGTACTGTGCTAAGTTCTAGGGATACAAAGAAAGGCCAAAACCAGTCCCTTGCTCTCAAGGATTTCACAGTGTAATGAGGGAGGCATCATGCAAACAACTATAGATGAACAAGATATAGACAGGATAAATTGAGCTTAGTCTCCATGAGATTAAGAAAGTACTGGCAAAGACTTCTTGCAGAAGGATAAGACTTTGAGACAATTTAAAGCAATTTTATGCCTTTTAATTTTCTTTTTTCTTTGAACCTCAAATATTTGGAGAGCTGGAGTCAGGTAGAAGAGAAACATGTTTACTGATTCCCAGCCCTTAGCTGTAAGAGCCGCAGTAGGTCCATCTGTTGTTAGTGCAAACCTTGGCCCCCTTCTTTGGCTTGCAGGCCTGTTTATGAAGAGAAGGCAGTAAAAGCCACAGCACAGTGTATCAGATGTATTTTTATCCGCACTGCAGTGTACTGATAATGGAAACAATGCTTCATTGAGTGTCAGATCACCTGGCTCCAGCACTTATTAGTTGTGTGATATTGAGCAAGTGACTTTGCCCACTCTTTCCCCATCTTCTACAGGAATCCTTTACAAACCTCTCTTAATTTTACTGCCTTCCCTTTCTTGTTTGCTTCCTGTTTATCATCTCTGTAGCTTGTTTGTACATATTTGTTTGCATGTTGTCTCCTCCCTTAGACTGTGACCTCCATGAGGGCAGCACTGTCTTTTGCCTTTCTTTGTATCCTTAGCACTTAGGGTGGTGCCTGACACATGGTGGATGTTTAATAAGTATTTATTGATTGGCTAACTATAAAACAAGAACATACCTTACACTATCTTTCTAACCCTCCGAAACACTACAAAGACTGCCATTATTTTATTGTTTTCATTTCATGCAGTTTTTTTAAAATATGCTCATTGTTTAAAAAATTCATATTAAGACAGTTTTCTTTCCTGGCATGTTTTACATATTTTTAACATTTGAGGATCTTTTTGTATATTAAGTACTCCTTTAAGTCTGAGCACATACCTACACAGCCTTGCATGGACTTACTGTGGGAGGGTTAAAATAGAAGAGTCCTTTGAAGTTAGCTAAAACAAATAAGGTAAAACTGGGACCATATCCACGGTCATTCACATAGTAAGTAGCACACCTGAGACTCAAACTCAGGTCTTCTGATTCCCAGTCCAGCATTCTATGTATACACTATACCATGTTGCCCTATTAAGTCACCATCTGGCCACTGCTTCTATATAGAGGAAATGTTGTACTAAATCTGCTTATCCTTTAAATGCCTTGTTCCTCATATACACTCCTAATTTGCTAGTTTCTCATTCCATCCAGCATATGTATATGTATATTCCATCCAACATATATGTGTGTGTATATGTATATACACACATATTTAGATTCATATATTTGTATACAGGTATACACACATATACAAAGAGATTGACAACATTCTATCACTCCTCATATTATTTCTTGGGCAGAACTAATGTTCATGGTATTTCAGGTTTGATATAGTAATGCTTTTGGCTAAGTGCTTTCTGAAATTGACCTAAACCATTCCTTGATTCAGAAGACTTCTTCATTCCCAGTTTAAGTCTCACTATTTATCAAGACCATCTTGGTATAATTTTTTTTTCCTGTCTGCATCTGTGATTTCATTAGGTCAGGCAATTCTCAGGGAGGAAACTTCCATTACCAATACAGGTCAGCTACTGTCCTATACCTTATAGTTTTGGATGCCTGTGATACTCAAGGATTAAGTGACTTACCCAGGATTACTTATGGATTACAGGTGGGACTTGAAGCGCAGTCTTCCTGACTCAGACACCCTCAATTCGCTCTAGTGCATTTCATCTCAATACTTATTTTAAAACAGGGTAAATTTTCAACTGTTAATAGAGCTAGAGTTTCTTTGAAATCTTTCCTTTTTTTCTTCTTTTGGCCCATCTGTCTTCTGAAACTATGATTGTGGCACATCTTTTAAATCTTGTGGAGAAGATGGAATGCAGTACTTTAATGCATGAAATTGACAAGACACACTGTGTCCCAAAAGTCTTGGTTATATTAATAATGATAGTAAATAATATAAAACTGCCATTAAAGATTGAAACAGCACTAAGACTTATGGGACAGCTCATAAAAGAGGCTAGGGACTAAAGCCATGAAGCAACAACAAAAAAAATCAGTAATTGGACATAAAAGGAAAAATAGGTTTAAAGAAAGTCCCCGTGAGCGTAAAGTACTGTAATTCAAAGAAAGAGACAGAGACTACACACAAACACAAAACTGAGGTTAGTGAAAGGCAAAAGCTAGCTTTAATGAGAGATGGGTATACTTACCTAGGGTAATAAGGAATGCAGAGTTCAGAAAGACTTCTTGTGGCTTCTTTAGGATTTTTGTGGGCAAATAGTAATACTGGTAAGTGACTGAGTGCAAATGAAATGGACTTGATGCTCATTTCTTATTCTATTTTAGCACATCAGGTCCACCCATCTGGCCGGGAAGCACCTTTTTCAAGAGAAACGGAGCCCTTCTACAAGGTAGGTCCCCAGTTATTACTTGTTTTTCCCACTGCTGTTCCTTAATTGTAGCAAAGATGAGTTTTTTTCACGGTTCACAATGGATGTCCTCATTCTGGAAAATGAGGAGTTCTGTGGGTTGAATCATTTTATTTCCTTCTATTTGTTTTCTCCTCCAGTCTCTTGGAAATGACGAATTACTAGTTTGAGATGATAGAAATATATGTCTCTGTTTTGTCATTTCTTGGGCTGTTGCCTTGCTGCCTATGAGTTCCAGCTGTGTTTGGCTTTCTTGGTGAAATTGGGATTGTGTGGTTCTCATGGTATGATAGCAGCAGAAATGAGATCAATAAAGTCAACTCCTTTATGAAGGTCCCCATTTTTCCTTTTGTACGTCTGTGATATTTAGCAAGCTGTGATGGCGTTCAGGGACTTAATGGTATATCATAACAATGTTTGGTTTATCCTCAGACTTGGCAAAGTTAGTTTTCCAAAGGTGAATTATTTGCTTTGTTTGTTCTCCCCGACACCCCACCCTCACCCCTGGAATATGGAACCTGACTCTTCAACTGTCTTCCCCACAAAGCCTTGCTCACATCCTCAGGGAGCATAAACTTCCTTTACAATCTGCTTAAAGGAAACTAAGTTGTATGGGCAAATATTCACCTAAAGCCCAAATTGAAAAGGTTTGGGGGAACTACCCAATATTTAAGGTCATTGGCACCATTTGTGTGGATGGTTGGGAGTTAGTGGTGTACCAAGAATCAACTTAGTCTTCTCTCTAACATCTCTTCATTAGCTGGGACTCAGAATTGTGGCATCTATCAAGAATGGATGGGTTTTCTTCTATCAAAATTTTTGATTGATTGATAGCTCTTCTGGGTAGGAGGTAAAGAGTTTGATTTAGTTGTCATACTTTTAAGAAGCTGTTTCCTAAAATGCGCAGGCCAAACACCAGCCTTTTATGTAGGGAGAGTAATAAAGACTTCTTGAAATACATTTTACCCTAAGATTGGAAAAGCAGCTCACACAGTGTGTGCAATTAAATGACCTTGTTGTTGTGCTATAGGCTGAATAATTTGGTGTCTGCATTATCAGGAGACTATGAAATCAGTGAACTTTGGAGTTCCTTTGCTTTTCTTCTTTATACCAGCTGGCTTTCGGCAGGTAGGTTCCATTAACACTAATCTTAATTACCATATTATGCCTCCAAAATGTTGGCGGGAGAATGAAAGACTCTGTTAATAGCTTATAGGTAGGGCTCTATCTGTAATCAGTGAGCACATTTTTTTAAGAGTCCATTTTTTATGTAGCCAATCTAAATAGAAAGCAGTAAGAAATTAAGCCTTAGTATTTCTTATTAATTTCAAAGGATTATTAAAATTTTTGCTCCAATATTTGAACCTTCTGATGAAAGTAATTTTCGCAGAATTTGTAGAGTGGTCAATCCTCAGTTTATTTTGTCTTGTACCAAGAGGATGGACGGGTTCTTATTAAGTTCTAATTCATTCGTTAAGAGGATAGTCTAGCAGAATAGATAGGGTTCTCTGGAACTTCTGAGTTCAAGTAACACCTCTGACAGCTGCCATGTGACCATGGGCAAATCACTTAACCTTTCAATACCTCAGGCAGATATGCAGTGGTACCTATGGTTCCATGCATGGTGAAATCATAGATCCAGACCCTTAACATTTCTCCTTTAGATGTGATTGCTCAAAACATCCTTAAATTTTCTTTTGATTGTCATCCAGGCTGTTGACCTTCCCTTGAAGGGTCTGTTCTGTGAAATCCTGTCACCATGATAGTACAGTTTTCTCTCCCTCCCCACTCCTTTTTTTTTTGTCCCTTTCCACTCTCCTAGCCATATCCTGAGAACCAAACCTCTTTAGCCACTCATTGAATTCAAAGCCATTAAATAAAAGCAGTGTGGTATAAAATCCTTAATTTGGTAGCCGAAGACCTCAGTTCAAATAATGTCTGTGCCACTCCCTAAACTTGTGACCTTGGGCTTCTCCCCACTGAATATCAGTTTCCTTATCTATATAATGAGGGAGATGGGGTACATGGTTATAAGATCAGAGAAGCAGAGACCTCAGAGATCATTTGTCCAACACCCTCATTTACCCGATAAGCAAGCAGAAACCCAGGTAGGTTAAGTGATCTGTCTGGGGTCATGCAGGGAGTGAGCATCAGAGACCCTGGATATGAACCAAGTTCTCTGACTCCAGGACACTTTTCTTTCAGCCCTAAATCCTAAAGACATCATCTGTTCTTTTTTGTACATTTGAAAATTGGACAGTTTTGGGTAAAAAGGGTAGGGTTGGTAGGTTAAAGCAGGGGAATGCTTGTTAACTTTAATTTTTCATCATAGGTTTCCTTTACATTCTTTTAAAAAAATGTTTTCCAACAATGGATGGTTTTAATTGAGTAATCTACTTGTGTAGTTCTTTAATAATTTTATTGTGACTAGATATTTTTTAGGGCTGTGTGTGACACAACCCAACTAATGTTTTTAAATTTTTTTTTCTCTTTAGAAAATTCAAAAGCACTTTTGTGATATTAATGTTGATGATAATATATTATTTATAATTTATATAATGCTCATTTTGCATAATGTTTTAAATTTTATAAGGTACTCCCTTCACAATAGCCTTCTAATGATAATATCACTGCCCTTATATAACAAATGAAGACTTGGAGATATGGAACTAGATATGGAAAGAAAGAAGAGTGTTCGAATTATGCCATTAATAAATTAAGGAAATGGAAAAATCTAGAGTCTCTCTCTCTCCTCTTCCCACCCAAGAAGTTCCCTGACATATTCAGTATGATGTGTATAGTATTTTTTTTTAAATCAAATAAACCCAAGTAGAATTCAGGTGGTATTGGAGCTGAATAAGAGATTGAATCAAAGGGTAGCAGTTAAAGATAATAAAGATCTGTGATGGTAGCAAAAGTATGACTAGAGTGCAGATGTTTTCCATCTGTCCTAGGAAGACAAGAGGAGGGAAGGAGGTTATGATCTGCAGCCTGTGGGATTTAAGTTAGACATAAGGAAGAATTTTCTGACAGTGATGTGATTGCTATTACACATCTGGAAGTGTTTCCTGAGGGAGATTAAGGAATCTTCTTGTTGAAGGAATGAATGTTTCAAAACAAGATAGATTCTCATTTATTCATGAATTAATGAATGAAAAAGCTCTAATTAAAGGCTTGCTTATTGTAGAAAGCGCCATGCAAAGTTCTGAGGATGCAAATAGAAAAACAAGGCACTCATAACTCTTGAGGAAGTCACATTCTAATAGAGGAAGACAACTTATGGAAGAGGGTTCAGGTCCAGGGCGGATGAAAAGGCCCTGTCGTACTTAGGGTGCTGTAGAAGGGCAAGTGGTAAAAAAAAACTCGATGGTTCAGATGGCAAGCTTGAATGGAATGTAGAAAGAACAAAAGGCCACACAGTTCAGTCATAATTTCTTTTGTGTCATAAGTGATAAAACTGTATCTAGTTTTTAATGTTAAACCATTTGGTCTTTAGTGGTGAGAACTTTCTTTTCTGGTTCTACTTCAAGTAGCTGTCTAGAAGAAGATGGGGGTGGGGTGCAGTTCAGCTATGTCTGCACTGGGGCTGCTCCTCTGAATGATAGGAGAGATTGGGGCCGGGGAATAAGGGAACAGATGATTTGGAGGCAGGGCCAGTGGTCTGGGGTGCTGCTGCTGCTTGGGGCTCTTGTGCACCGATCCTGGGTGACAGCCTCCATTAGAGCCTACTAGGGGAGGGAGGCTAGTAATGGTCTCTTCCTCCAAGGTCATGCTACTTCCTATCCCTTGCTCAGGGTTCATTGAATGAGCATTTACTAAATGCATGTTGTATACCTCGCTAGGTGCCTGGGGGTAAAAAGATTGGATTCTTGGTGTCTGTATGGATTCAACCCCACTTTCCTTTACTTTGCATATTTGTTACATTTTTTTTTCCAGTGGGGTGGATGTGAAGCGATAGGGGTAGGAGGAGAGACAGACAGAAAGGGAGGGAAGGAAGGAAGGAAGGAAGGAGGAAGAGAGAGAGAGTCCATTGAGCATTTTCATTTCATGAAGGTGGTGAATCAGCTTCCAGTGAAAATTGATGCTCAGGACAGTGTCCCTAATGTATCACGAGATGCTGAGTCATCAAAGAAAGATTAAGTTATGTCCTACATGTGATACTTAGCAAAGCAAGAAATTGTAATAATATGGTTTAGGTATTAACCCTCCGTGAACCAGAGTACCACATACCCTGAGTGTTTTGGTCAGTCTGGGTTTTATTGTACATCCAAAGAGACCATAGTACAGTATATTCCTAAGAAAATAAAGTACACAGTAATGTTTTATAAATCCTTGGGTTTTTGTCCAATTTTTATTTTGGTAAATGCAACATTAAACTGAAATCTAACATATATATCTGGTTCCCTGATGCAAAAGTGGTTACACACCTTTTATTAACTGTCTGTGTACAGAGTGAAGTGATGAGAACTGGGAAAACAACTTATACAATAACAACAGCTTTATATAATATAAACAGCTTTAGAAGACATAATAACAGTGATCAATGCAGTGACCAACTACAATTTCAGAGGATGATAAGAAATCATGTTAGCCAACATCTTGAGAAAGGTGATAGACCCCTGATGCAAAATAAGACATATGTTTTTGGGAATGGCTAATGAGCAGTTTTGTTTTGCTTGACGTATTTGTTACAAATATTTCTTCCAGTGGGGTGGGTGTGAGGGGATAGGGATGGGGTTGGGGAAGACAGAGACAGAGTCCACTGAACATCTTTTTTTTTTTTTAAATTCACAGAAGAGAACAGAAGGAAGGCCAGAAAAAATCAGACAAGTAGAATAGCTTTAAAAGTTACATGTGGGGCAGCTAGGTGGCGCAGTGGATAGAGCACTGGCCCTCAAGTCAGGAGGACCTGGGTTCAAATCTGGCCTCAGACCAAGCACTTGACGCTTACTAGCTGTGTGACCCTGGGCAAGTCGCTTAAC